AGAGTCTGCATATTTATTTTCCTCAGATTTTTCTCTGAATATGATTTTTTCCTATAAGTCAGAATAAACTCCACATTGTACATGAATAAACTTTTATCTAGATAGTAAAGAGGAGTCAACAGGATAAAAGAGCACCATTTAATCTTCAATGGAGCCCAGTTCTACCCCTCATTTGCCCTGGAAAGGGGCCATCATATATAACTGAAAATTTGGGTTGAAGCTAGTGAAAATGAATTTTCTTAAAAATGCCAATATTTATAGATGCACAGCACATAGTAAAAACATCTCAGAGAATGAAAATTTAGAGCAGTGGTTTACCTATGAAGAAGGAAGGAGGACAAAGTGATGGATGGGTGGGGCTTTACCTGTGACTATGTTTTATTTGAGAGGAGAGAGAGAGATATCGAAAGCAAATATGGTAAAATTTTAAGATTTGTTAAATTTATGGTTAAATTTTATGGTTAAAATTTATGGTTAAATTTTAAGATTTGTTAAATTTACATTGTGGTACATGGTGTACATGGTACATGTTTAACTTTCTATATGCTTGAAATATTTTATAATTAATTTTTTAAGTATATGAAGACTTGCACATCAAATTATTAGGAAGCTAATGAAATTCTTTTTTCTCAGCTATGTGAAAGAAATATGCAGAGCACCAATGGTTCAGTGTTCCAAGTTCTAGAAATAATACCAACATGGTGAGGGGTTGGTAAGCCTGGCCTACTCCTATCTGAAATAGATTTTTATGAATGGGACACAGTTCCAGTAGAAAATTCAGGATTTGAGTAGACTCCTAGAGTTGGTTTTAAAATGATTTAACTTGAAGCAACAAATTAGGACAGTCAATAGGAGAGTAACCCAAATAGGTTATATGTTTACACCTTCGCTAAGTGTAGTTCTGTGTCTGCAGCCACCAAACCACAGCACGCAAAGCTTTCCGGCTGGCACCTGACCCCATGCTGTGTCTCCATATGACTGAGCACACACTGAGCCACCAGCCTTTCGGGTGCCTCTCCAGGAGAGCGGAGCGGTGGAGCTCTCACAGAGGCATGCCAAGAAGACGGGGAGTGAGGATGCAGGAAGAGAGGCTGTAGGTGAGCAAAAGGCAGAGCCCATAACACTTTACTTTTAAGCCGTAACAAATGCACTTAATAAATATGTAGCAAATGTAAGGTTCGGTAGTATCATTTCTTTCTGGGAAATGTAGAGCCCTACCTCTGAAGTTCCTGCTGGAATGGATTCTGGGGCTGAGTGTGGGACACTGTCCACCATACCTCTGCCCAGCTGAAAACATCATTCCATAGATGCTGCCATTGTTCATACACTGTGGACAGAAGCCTGTCTCCACTTTCACTTTCTCTTCTGTAATTAGAGCAGTCAATCAAACTCCTACATTAACTTTTAGGTATGTAGTTATCATAGAATATCAAATGTTTTAGGTAAATTTTGTCTTTCTCCTTCATATCCAGGGAAACTAATTCAGAGACTCTAGGAGAGATAAAGACACATGATCATCATTTTGAAAACAATATCTATTAATAATCAGGAAAAGCACATGCTTATAAAAATAATATATTTGGGCCAGGCGCGGTGGCTCACGCCTGTAATCCTAGCACTCTGGGAGGCTGAGGCGGGAGGATTGCTCGAGGTCAGGAGTTCAAAACCAGCCTGAGCAAGATCGAGACCCCGTCTCTACTATAAATAGAAAGAAATTATTTGGCCAACTAATATATATATATATAATTAGCCAGGCATGGTGGCGCATGCCTGTAGTCCCAGCTACTCAGGAGGCTGAGGCAGGAGGATCGCTTGAGCCCAGGAGTTTGAGGTTGCTGTGAGCTAGGCTGATGCCACGGCACTCACTCTAGCCTGGGCAACAAATCGAGACTCTGTCTCAAAAAAAATATTTGGACAATTCTATGTGATACAACTTTATAGTAGAAAAGTATGAAAAGGAGCAAAGCTAAGATTGATTCCACTGCTGCAGTTAGATCAGTAGTTCTCACACAGGGGTGACTTTGCCCCCCAGGGGGCATTTGGCAATGTCTGGAAACATTTTTGGTTGTCACCATTGTAGGGCATCTAATGAGTAGAGGCCAGGGATGCTGCTAAATATTCTATTAATATAATGCACTGGACAGTCTCCCAAAACAAAGCATTTTCTGGCTCAAAAGGTCAATTATGCCAACTTTGAGAAACTCTAGATGTATTCCTCTCATTGTTTCCCTTATAGCCTCGCACAGACCTGGTGCTTAGTAAACTACTGCAGAAAAGACCCGTACAGTTGTAAAGTCTTCCTGATAAAAGAGATACACTGAGAACAATCCTTTCCTCTGTCTAAATTTTACAGGGAAAAGGGATTTAAAATCCCTTTGTAAACTTTAAAGTCACGTTCATCTCTCCTTTATGGAGAAGACTTATCAGAAGGGATATTGGGAGAAGAGCTCTGAAAAAAATACTCGGTAGTTGTCTCTTTCTTTCCCTCATCCCGATCCTTCTGATTAAGAATTTGTAGGACAAATAAAGTTACTTCCTTTAACTATTAGGAAGAGCAGAGCCATTTAAACTCTCAGTGAACAACAAGCTAAGGGAATAATAAAGGCTTATAATGGTCATATTCTCTGAACTCCAAGTTCCTCCTTTTTTTACAACTTGATTAAATATCTTATAAATATATACTGAATTAGTGGATACAAAACAACTGATTGGGTAAAATGATGCGGTTGTAGATAAAGTTTAATAATGATCAATATTCCACATTTATATTTTGACTTGCTTTTTTGTTAGTTGTTTACATGTCTATAATTCCCACTAAGTATTAAACTCCTTGATATAGAAACTGTCATTCACAAGAACATCTAATGTCCATTAAGTTGTTTCATGTCTGAATTATTCAGTGACTGTGAGGCAGTAATATGTTTTTGAGTAAGTGACGCTTTACGTGAGAAGGATGTATGAAGACTGGGCATGAATGGCTATGTAAAGTTTTTCATTAGCTAATAAATCCACAACAAAGTTAATGCCTTGCATTGGTTAGTATCAACAATTCTTACTTAGCCACAAAATACTAGAGCAAGAGAAGTAAACAGTTCATGAAAATTATCATAATTTATATTTTTTAATGTAGAACCAGTCTGGAGAAAACTTCCAGTTTTTCACTTAAAGTTAATTCTTCAGTTGTTATAATCGGTGTCAATGCTAATAACATGTGTCTTTCAATTCTCCTTCTCACAAATATACACACAGAGAAGCACACCTATTTGTACACGTGACAGACACATGTGTTAAAAGAGCTGGATCTGGCTCCCCGAGACCTGAGCACCTGCCACCCCCTGGCCCTTCTCCCTCCCCCTTGCTCCTCAGAGTTATTCTCTGGGCCTTGTTTCACCATGGCCTCCAGTGTCCTGTCCCCTCATCGCCCTGACCCAGCACCCCAAACGCACACACTCTACCCAACAGGTTCAGTGAGCACCAGTCTGCTGCAAGGTGATGTGAGAAAGGCCAGATGACGCCTCACTCTCTGAGCCTCAGCTTCCCCACAGGCCACAGGCACCACACTTTGCACCTACTGTACTTGTTATGAGGATTAAAAGAGCTAATGTATACAGAGCGCTTGGCAAATACGTGGCATTTAATAGATGCTAATTAGCTTCTTTATTGCTGTTCCTCATTCCTGATTCAGGCTCTAAAGGATTGAGGCCATTAGACTGTGGTCTGTTCTGTGGACCAACCATATCCTATTTATCTGCCCAGTTACCAGTAACAGGAAAAATATCTTTCCTTCCACAACTAGAGCTCAGAGACTTAAAATGCCAATATGACCTTTAGGATCCATATGATATAATATAGATGAGTTTCACTTGAAAAGTAAAGAATGACATTATAGTATTTTGTGTTTTGTTTTGGAACGAGCCTAAGAAATTAAAAAAGGCCTGGGCCTAGAAATGGAATATGAGGGAAGAGAAGAAACAGAATGCAATGCCGGAAAAACCAAGGACAAATTTCCTTACGTCATAATTTTCCTGAGGGCTGCTCTATCGACCTTCATCTATTCACAGAAACAAACCAGCAAAAAGACTGAGGCCAAAAGTGTGTGACATCCTGCAGGGCACGCACACAGTGGGAATGGTCCCGTCCAAGCTTTCATAAACGACTAAACTACAATCGTTGACTGGCTTGTCTGCAAAACTGTATCCGTCTGTGTTTACTATCAGCCTATGAAACATGGTACAATATTATGCAAATAAAAAACTCAGATTAACTTAGAGAAAGATATTCTCAATAAAATCAACAAACGTAAAAAGAATCTGAAGATGGTAAAGGGACAACCAAACACAGCCCACCGTGTCCTGAGGCAGCTGGTTCCAGAGGACAGCACGCGCTGCGCACCTGCTCAGGTGGCGCCAGGGCACGGTCAGGTTCCCTACGGAGCACGTGCGTACATTCGCTCATTTAGTCTCTAAAAGACCTTATGAAGTGTGTACTATTAACATTTCTGCACTTTATGCATTTCACACATTAGGATACTAACGTCTAGAAGTGTTGGGAAACCTACTCAAAGCCACACAGCTAATAACAGAAACTGGATCTGAATTCATGATCTTAAATAGTTAATACACTATATAATCCACATACTCAGTCATCTGCTTTTTTTTTTTTTCCACTAAATCTCCAAAGAGCCAAAATCAAACCTTTCTTTTAAAGACTTACTAAGGTTTCAGGAAGTATGTAATTTTAAAAACCTTTAAGGTGATCAAGAAATAGTAAAAGTTTGTCAGCTAATGTTGAAAACATTTCTACAAAAGAGGAATGTGAGCAAAGTTTTAGTTACTGTCACTTCTATTGCTAAGAGACACATTTCTACTTAAAAGTTATAATAATCATATGAACATTTCAGTTTAGGGGCAAAAGCAAATCGTACTAATTTAAAGCAATTCCTTGGAAATCTGAGGAAATCAAATTTTCGGAATTCACAGAGAAGGACGCCACAAACTCACTTTGACCTGCGGGTAGGACTTCTTGTTCTTTTCACTGGAGGCGCCGGGCAGTCCGCCGTGGGACGGGCCTTCACACACGTAGCGGAAGCGAAACCCCCTCTGCAAACGCGAGAGGCGCTCGTTAAAAATCATCCTGACAGAGTTACGCACAGATTTTAAATCTTACGTGTGCTAAATGACAGAAGAAAAACATGAAACTGTGAAAGAGGACTCTGTAAATGAGGATCACTTCCCCACAATCTCCTCATGGAAGCGACATGCCTTAACATTTGCACGCCGAGAGGAGACGCGGCTGAAGCCGGGCGCTAGGCCGCGGCCGCTCCCGCTGTGCGCACGCGCAGACGCGGCGCTGGACCCTGCCGTGTAACCAAAGTTACGCTTCTTGACTCTTACTACAGGAATTCTTCGTCTGCCCTGGTTACAGTTGGTTCAGGAGGAGCTACAGCAGTGTCTTCCGAAACACACCTGCTGGTGTTGCGAGCACACCCCGTGCCAGACCCTGCATCTGGCCAGCTTCTCTCAACAGTTCAGAGGATAAGGGTTTTGATTTTATAATTACTGACATGATCCAGCTCAAGCTTGAATATCAACTGACCCAAATGAATCCCAAACCAGAAATTCCCTTAAATATTATCCGACCAGGAATTTTATAGACATAGTTAATCAATGAAGAGTTAGCTAGAAGCCTTTACTATTAATATATAAACTACTAGGAGCTGATAAACACCATGTTTTTTCATCTCTCTAAGTAAGAAGATTATACCAGACCATCCTTAAGGTTTATTCCAGTTCTAACATTTTATGACTTAGAAAGCTAGCTTAATTATAATTAAGCATATTTGTACATACAGAATAAAACCAGGATAATTATGCAAATAGACCTCATCATCATATTAAAGGAGTTTCACTGAATTTCCTGAAAGACTCAACTTTATAATGATGTCAATCAATTTGTGGTAGTCTTAGTAGTTTATAACTGTTGGTAAGCAGATGGTTTTCTTTTTTCAAATTCACTCTTCGGTAAAAAAAATAATATGTTAATATACTTTAAGGAAAATCCTGACCTTTCATTTATTTTTATTGTGGGGCTGACTTCACATAAACAGAACTAATCATCAGGAGCTCCCCACAATTGCTGGTGGGGTCTCTACCTGACTCATCCGAGTTTGGAATGCCGGCAACATGAGGGTTTTCACAGCTTGGAGCTCATGGGCCAATGTAAAATTTTTGCCTTCCTTAGACTGTAAAGTGTTTCATTATTACTACAATGGCTTTGCAGTCGGAGTGGTCCAGATGCCTCAAACTCATTTAAATCTCTGGGAAACATCTGGAACTGTCCCTATATTTGCTGAGGAATTCCTTATTTCCAAAGATCAGTCCTAAAGCATGTATCACCCACAGATGATTAAGGCCTGAAGCAAACTCCCTAGTCTGGGAACCTTCCTGAAGGCACACAAGGATACTCAGTGTATGATCCACTCATCAAAGCGAGACCTGAAATAACTCTTGCATGTGGCTCCTCAGGAGATTCCAAACTTACATGCCAGGGAAGCCTTCTGAGGTGAGGTTTTAGGGGCAATTCCTTTGTTTTACTTCTCACAAAACTCAAATTAAAAAGTAAGTTACAAATTTAGCCCTATACCTTTTGTAACCAACGCCCTATGGGTTTATTTTTAATAACTAAATGAAATTTCTAAAAGCATGAAAAAGCAACCCATGTGCAATAGCCTCCAGAATTAGCTAGACATAAAGATAGAGATTTACTTGACTGCTAATCAATTTAAACGCCACTTCAGTTTTTACACAGTATTAGATAATTAACACTGAATAATATGCAGAAGAACTGGCTCATCTAAAAATTAGTAGTCTATGCTATGACTCATCTCTATCAGACTTAGGGAAAATCTGTGGCCAAGAGGCCCTGAGGAAAAAGAACATTTTTCTATCTTAAAAATTAACAAAGCAATTATTGAATTGCTTTAATCACAAAATTCCTTTGGGATAGTAGAAAAATATATTCACATATATGTTTATATCTTATTAGGAGTGATGTCCAATGAATTGTAAGTAAATAGCATGTCTTAGCTTTTTTACAGTTTGAAAAACACTTGATAGATATTACTCATGGTTACACAAGAGTAGCTAAAGTTCTACACAGATACATTTTTAACTTGAGGATGGAAATTTGTAACTTTTTTTCAGGAAGATAAGATGTCTTCAAATGCACTGTCTGGACCCATTTCTGATTCTACGTTTCTGAGATTAAAGGTTTGCCAATCCACACACCCATTCATCTCAGTAACTCCATTTGCTTAAAATGAGTCATCAACCTCAAACGCAAGGCTACATCCATCCAATCAGAAGGTCTGACTTAAAACAACCTTCTTACTTTCACTGAATTCAGATATCAAAATAATATCAGTTAGGTAAACAAATTGTTTTACTCATATAAGCTTTTATGCATATGCATATAATGAATTAAATTATGAATTCTGGAGCTACATTAATCCTTCAGGTAAATCGTAAATGTCAATTTTTCCTTATGACTGTTGGACCCATAATAAGGAATTGCATTTTAAGATTCTTAATGTGGTGCTATACTTATGAAAATGGATATTTGAAGAAATATTTTATCCATTTCTTAATTTCATCAATTACCCAGATCTTACAAGCTGGGGAATCTTTCAGGATGCCAGATCACTGCATAAAATTTCAGGGGATAAAATTCCACTGAGAGGGTCTTTGAAAGGATTGTTGACCTCTTGTGAGATATCACTGCTACAGAGTTGGACACAGAGGTAGAGCAGAGCAAAGTTTTATTGGCAGCCTGTGGGGTCAGGATGTGCCAACTGCAAGCAACTAGAAAAAGGCTCCAAAGTCTCATGTGGCATTCTTGTCCCCACAATAAACACTTTTATCTAATTTTGACCTTATAAGGGTAGTCTGTTTGGTAATTATTAAGATATTTATATCCTTTAAATGCTGACCAAATGTAACACATATATATTCTGGAAACTATAGTGCAGTGGATGCCTTATTTAAGTTCTTGACCTAGTTAGCATTGATTAAATGTTACACAATGAAAAAGTGTTACACTCACCTGAGCTAATAAGAAGAATGCTTAGGAAAGGCAGTGGAATATAACTGCAAGAGGGCAGGTATATGTATCCTCAGTCTCACACAAATGTGATAAGAACATGCATTCAGACATTTACTGACTGTCCTCACTCTATGAGGGACTGCGTCATTACTTCCATCCCTTAATAGTTAAAATCTCCTATAGGCAGAAATCAAAGATTCTCTTTCCTCCTCTTTCACAGCCCTGGTCCCATTCAATTTCCAACAAATATTTATTCACAGAGTTGGGACATGGTGAGGAGCCGTTTCAGTTCAATCCTCCACAGAACCTAATGGTAAGAGGAAGAGCCCGATAAGATAAAACGCTCCTCTCCTGAGTGCACAGAGGCTGAGGCTAAAACTAGCCGCAGAGCGAAGGGAGCTCAACCGTCCACCCTCACATTTTACCTCCCACTGGTACTTCCAGTAGCTTAGGTTCCATGTTCCAAAGACAGAACAGGAAAGGCTGGGCACTGAAGGAAGGAGGAAGGCTAAGAAGTATCGCACGGGCATGGACACGATGGGTGTAATTCAGTGTTTATGAGCCGCATGCATGTGTATTTCCTTGTAAATGAAAGTAAGTAGAGATGACCTGCGCCTGTCCTGGGGGTCGCTGGTAAGCTAAGCTGGGAGAGAGAGAAGAATACCAAGGATCTATAATTAAATGGAGTTTTACAGAACTAAGTACTAAGGCTTAATTAAGACAGTTTGAACAATGGCTAAGAGAACTCTAAAGTGAACCAATAAAGGTGTTACATAATTTGACAGGTTGTTGGTCTTTCAAGTAAGCTTCTTCTTTCATAAAATTTGTTTTACTATTATTCAGTGCTTGAGATCTCAATATTAGACATAGGAATCTAACATTTAAAGAAAAAGTACCACCCCTTTAATCTTCTTACCTGTTTAGGTTGCTCTAATATTTGAAGATATGGGCCATCTGCTAAAAACAAAAATAACAAACAGAAATCAAAAGAAACCGTGAGGCTTCAAATATGGTATAAACTGCAAAGCAATTCAAAAATTGAAATTATGTTTTTATAGAGAGATGTCAAATTGATCCTAGTTAAAATTTCACAAGGATATAATTTTTCTTCCTCATTTGCAATATTAACTTTGCCCTTATATTAAAACTAGTTGTACAGTTTTAGGGAGCCACAATAAATAAATGTTTGTTGAACGGTGATGGCACACTGCCCAGCCCAACAAAACACACGGTGCCCGGCAAAAATTGTCAACAGCCTTCACAATCTTATCTCTCCTCACAAAGCATTTTAAAATGACAAATACCAACTTAAAGCAGCAACCACTTCCTGGGCACTATGATATTTTCTTTTGCTTTCACATCATTAGACACTGACTTTCATTCTTCAACGAGAATGTGCTTAATGTGAAATTAAAAGAGATTGAGCTAGCAACCTGCATGTGCAAAATACACATAGTGATCTCAGACTATATGTTTTCCCATACACTAAGTTTTCTGTTGCTTTCCTTATCTGAATCCATGAGTAATACCCTTTATTTCCTAACTGGTTAGCTTGTTTCCATTCTCCTCCCCACCTTTCAATTTAATTTGGTCTATCAGACACAGTGAACTTTTCTTATTAATCCATAGACTTGATGCTTATGCAAAATTTTTTAATACTGCGCTGTCATATAAACTCTGTTCTAGAACAGCTCAGGCATTTTATAAAATCTTGAAAATAATTTAATTGAAGATAGGTGCATGCAAATTAATTATTGTAAAAACATATAGAAAACTACAGGCTTAATACATACCCTGACTGTATCTGACTTGAACATTCAAAGAAAAATCAGATCCTCTGACAGCATAAATACAAATGTGTTCAATATGAAAAAGTCCCTAAGCTCCCCTGCTGGATTTTATGTTAAGACTATAATAACCCATAGCTCTGCAATAAGTAAAGGCATATGGTGTTTCTCATCTGTTTGAATATAAATTATGATGTTAGATATAAAAATATTCTAGGAGAATGTTTCTGTGTCCATTTAAATCTTCACTGTCTCTCAGTTAGAAGCTCAAGACCTAGTATTATGGATAAACAAATTTGTGAACAAGAGATAAAATTTCAGGTTGAAATTAAAAATAAACTATAACTTAAAAGAGAACTTTTTTATCTTCTCAGTATTATGATGAATCAGGATAAGAGTAAAGAACTGCAGAAAACAAAGGTATAGTCATTTCCTGTTATTATTTAAGAAATTTATAAGAAAGCTGTTGAAAAAGTAGTTGAAAAATGACTGCATTTGAAGTGAAACATACACAAGAAAAGAAAAATGACAACTCACTGGCCAATGTAGTAATTAGTAAATTATATTTGTTTTTATGTATGAAATTCATCCCTTGACATTTCAAACTACTTTTAGAAATGTCATTGCAATTTTAAAATCAAAACAATGACTAGAATTTAATTTTGAATGAAAAAGTAAAATTGATAAGAAATAGAAATATTTTCACACTACTTATATATAGCCTATATAACAATGCAACAAATATAAAAACATTCCCTCTAGAATACTAATAATCCATGTCAAAAAGATAGACCTCTCAGAAAGCAAGATTTGGATAAGACGTCATGAAAAACATAGAAGAGTTGGGAGAACATTTACATTAAACTTCAAAGTCTCTCATTTTTATTAACTCTTCTAAAAATATTTATAGTTTTGCTATTATTTTTCCTTTAGGATTTAATTTCTTTTAAATATGTGAAATTCCATGTAAATGGAGCCATTTTTCTCTTTCTGGGAACATACTCAAAAGTTAAATCAGCTAGAAAATTAGATTTGATATGTATATGCATATGATTTGTTTTAAGGGCAACTTTCTTTTGGCCACATTAATGTGCCATGAAAAGTGACATCCCACTGTGCAGAGGAATTTAAATTACAGTATATTATAGACCTAACTTATATCATAACCCATAGTTTTCTACAAGAAGTAGAACTAATGATGGTTTTAGATTTCAAGAAATCTAGAAGATTTAAAAATCTATATGAAAATTACAAGTTATAATAGCTTAGATTTACAAATTAATGTTGGTTTAGATAATTTGTCTATCCCTTTAAAATCTGAACAAAACATGCCATACATCTTGGATATAAAAATTAGACTATGCCAACTGCAACAAAGAGGGGAAAATATATGGATAAAAATGAAGAAGCATTAACAACTGGAGAATAAGATTGTTAGGTATAATTTTAAAAGTTTTTCTAATACTATGGCAAAATAATTTCAACAATATGAAGCTCTGACCACAGAATATTTACCAAGATGGTTCTTTTGATAATCTTACTTCTATGCCTATAAACCTGAAGAAAAACAAAAAAATCAAGAAAAAATCTGCCTCGGGATACTGTTAGGTATTCACAAGGCATTAAATGGAAATGTGTATATTTCTTGAGGAAAGAATCAAGTTCTTACAATTTAGTAATACATTAATACTAAGAAAAATACTTTGAACTTCAGAACAAAAAAGTTCACAGGAAACACAGATGCTACCAAGACGTTTACTTATTCACAGGAAGCTGACCTAGAGCTCAAATCGGACAGCTCTTCACACGATCTCAGACACAGGAGCCTAAAAAATATGTTTTATCAGGTAAACAGAGAAAGGCCTCTGTAGCACAACTTCACTAGTGAAGGTAAAATGTTGGCAGATCTCTTTTTCCTCTCCCATGAACTCCTAGAAATATTAAAGACATAAATGCATAAAAACATCCTGATCTAAAAAATGAAAAGGAAGTATGAGAGTAACCATAACAATGAGAATGATACAAATTGGGCAGAGTCTCCCAGTGAAGACAAACAAGTCCATGGCAAATAAAATAGCTGATGCTCACTTCAGTGATTACCAAACTCTGTCTTGTATAGAACCTCCATAATTCACTCACCCTGCTTTTGAACATGTTAAACTAGTGATGTAAAGAGCAAAACAGAACATAAAAAGAGCCATCACACAGAGCTTATGTACAAATCTACCAACTGAAAAAAAGAGGCTAGTGAGTTGATTTTAAATTGTTTACTCATAGGAGATTAACCAATTACTGATGGGAGATAATACTGTCATGTTAGAAGGAAGGATTATTATTGTTTTATCCAACTGGTCAGAATGGAAAGCTAAATGTTTTCCATGATTGTTCTATGGAGATGATTTCCACGATTTCTACACATCGTTTCCCAGTGCCTGGCACACCAGCTGGCACACACAGACCCTCAGATAAACGCTTCAGAATAGCACTGAGGAGTCGAGACCGCCTCGTGTGAGTCTGGGACGAAGCACAGAGGACTTAAAACGGACGCAGAGATAATATGATTGGGTGAAAAGGAAAATCATCATATTGAGGGAAGAAATTCCTTCTGCGTTGTCCTGGCAGATATTAACAACTACAGTAAGCCAAACAAGGAGTAATTGAGGTGAAACATTTTTGTGCAAACATATTTCAAGAAAGTACATTGAAAGACTGGTTTTTAAAACATATATCACGGCTGGGTGTGGTGGCTCACACCTGTAATCCTAGCACTCTGGGAGGCCGAGGCGGGCGGATTGCTCAAGGTCAGGAGTTCGAAACCAGCCTGAGCAAGAGCGAGATCCCGTCTCTACTATAAAATAGAAAGAAATTAACTGGCCAAATAATATATATAGAAAAAATTAGCCGGGCATGGTGGCGCATGCCTGTAGTCCCAGCTACTGGGAGGCTGAGCAGAGAGGATCGCTGGAGCCCAGGAGTTTGAGGTTGCTGTGAGCTAGGCTGAGCCAGGCACTACTCTAGCCTGGGCAACAAAGTGAGACTCTGTATCAAGAAAAAGAAAAAAAAAAAACACCATATATCACCATTTCCTTCCTAGGAACATCACTGAATTTCTAAAAGAAACTATTAGCAAATCCTGAATTCTAAAAAACATGAAAGCAAAACAACAGGCAACAGGAATGAGTGCACTTACCTGTTGGCAGTGCCATCTCTGGCTGAAATAATTCTGGATTAAATATTGTATGATTCAAAGGATTCAAAGGAAACATCTGTAAAGAAGAAAATTTAAATCTTTCAATAATTTTTCCAATATAATATTAAAAATTTGTAGCTGGATACCTAAAACTTAATAAAAGGAATGAAAACTAAAGCCAAAAACAAAAAGCTGAAAACATTTTATATCAGGATTTTAAAATACCTTCACGAGACCTAGTTCAGTTCTCATGTGTGTGGAATGTTGCACAGGGCTGGACAATATTCACATAACAAAAGGACTGGGGAAGAATAACCTAGCCAGAAGGTCTCCAGAGCCAAGGCCCTGGTGTGGCCTTCTCACTAGCACATTCTCAGGGCCTAGTGCATGCTTATTACAGAGTAGATACTCAATAAATATTTGTTGAATAAATGATTTGAAGCTTATACTCTCTTATAAATATTAGAATATAATCCTAGAAATCTATACTTCTATTAAAGTGGTAAATACATGCCTAATCTAGCTACCCAATTTCAAGGCCTCAAATTATAGACAGCAGCTCTGGAACTATTTACAGAATAATTGAAAATTAACTTACAGTCCAAAGAGCAGATAAATAAGCAATGAGCACACTCATTTTTTTTTTTTTTTTACCTTTATTTTCTTAGCATAATACAGAATACCTGGAATTTGGTGGGCATTTTAGGCTGAATAACGCCCCCTACAGATGTCCACGTCCTAATCCTCAGAGCCTGTGCATGCTCCTTATGTAGCCACAGGACTTTGCAAATGTCATTAAGGGAAGGATATTAAGACGAGGAGATTGCCCTGAACTGTCCAAGTGGGCTCCATGAGAGGGACTCAGGAAGTCAAGGTGAGTAGTAGGAGGTGCCACATCGGAAGCAGGAGGCTGGAGTGGTGGGCGGGCACACAAGCCAAGGAATGCAGGCAGCCTCTAGAAGCTAAAAACGGCCCAGAAATGGGCCTCTAGAACCTCTAGAAGGAATGCAGCCCTGCCAGCATGTGGATTTAGACTTCTGGCTACCAGACTTGGGAAAATAAATTAGTGTTGTTTTAAGCTGCAAGTGTGTGATAGATAATTTGTTACAGCAGCAACAGAAAACTAATACAGTGGGCATGTAATATATTTTGCTGGAATTAAATTCTATACTGCTAAAACACTTTTAATTACTTATCCCCAGAAAAAAGTCTTTTCCCAGTTCATTTAGAACTTTAAATTCATATTTCTGAGCTTGCTAATTTGTTTTGGCCTAAAGAAGTCACCTGCTTAAAATGTCTGTGGTCAGCATAGAAATAACCATATTTTACTTTTTATGGTAGATAGGCTAGTCAGTAAGTGTGCTGGAACTAGTATATTTTTTAAATAGTATTACAACTTGTCTCTTGTCATTATTAGTAAATTATTAGAGGTTTTTGGGTACCTAAGAATCTAGTATGCCTAGTAAAATCAAGAGGAAGAAAAACAGCATTTAAATAAAGAACACTTCAGATCCAGTTGTGATGGATGCAAAGTTTCATTTGAGGAACAAAAAAATGTTCCCCTTCAATGCTTAAGGATAAAGCTCATTGATGCTATTCATTGTTCGCTGAAAAGACAATACAGGAATGAGAAAAGACGTTCTGCAAAACTGGGCTCCAGCTTACAAGGGGTATTTGCCAGTCTCAGAGCAAAAAAGACAACCTAGCAGGAAAAATCTCCTTTCCTGTGGGCCTGCAGGATGCTCTCGTGACTGGAAGGCAGCAAAGGCACCCGTCACAGGAGAGAGATTTATACCCTGCTTTCGACAAGACAGAGCAGCTGTGCTGTACTGCAGCTTGCATTGCTCGTAAGGCCATGGGTGGAGAGCAAATTCCTGACTACACTAAAACACTTTGGATATGCCAGAAGGACATACAAACTCTAGGAAATATGAATCATTAAGTTTGAGACAAGAAAAAAAATTTCAAGGACCTCTCCCCTCAAAAATGGAAATATCAGAACACACCCAAGCACTGTTGCTGATCACAAAAATGCCCACATGACAAAAGTTTCAAAATGAATGTTTTTAGCAGGTTTTACTCTTGTGTGGCATAAAGAACCAGCTCTTGTTGATAAGATTTCCTGCATAGAGACAGAAGGCATGGTTCAAAATCAAGCAGAAACAACCCTCATGTTGCTTAGTTTGCCTCTAATTGTTAGAGATGGCATATTAAAAGTGAAAGGGAAAATAAAGGGTTTTGATGACATGAACAGCCAAATGTTTTTCACACTGCTATCAAAGGAAATGTTCCTAGATTTATCTTATATCACCATTTTTACAATAAAACTAGAAAGGAGAATCTTAATGTGAAAGGCAATGCATATCCATTCTTTCTAAATTAATCATAAGATTACCAATAGCAGTGAATGCTGTATGTCTATTTTATTCATAGAAACAATACTAGATCTCTTAAAAAGTATTTTGCTTTTGGTTTTATTTTTCTGACTGATTCTTCATATGTGTAAATTTGGGAAATTCACTGCTTCAAATAGTTGCCACTAAAATTTAAATGTGAAATGTTAATGAGTCATGGACCACGGTGTCCTGATACCTCGTGCTCCTTCACCTTGTCTGGCCTAGAAAACTACATCTTTCAAATCTCAGCTGACAGAGACTCCCTTTGGAAAGTCCTTCATAACTCTGCCCTTTCCCCAGGGAAGCACCTGACGTCTCTCTCAATGTGTCTGTCCCACTCTGTGCAGACAGCGGTAGCATTTATCACCATATGGAAACTGCGTCTCTGTCCTTCCTATCAAAATGGCAGCTTCCTGAAATGAGAGTCTGTATATCACTTATTTTTGTATCCCTACTAAACCAATGTTCTAGCGTATAGTAATATCTCAATAAATAGCTGATTAATAAATATGTCTCAGTGTTTTAAATACGTCTTAGAATCATTATTTATGTTCTCTAAAAAATCAACATATCTTTTAAGGAAAATTTTTAAAATTTTAAATATTTAGTATTGCCATTGCAGTTACTCCAGAATCTGAAAATTGGTTTCAAATGATTCCATACAGGGGCAGAGGTGGGGGGAGAAAAATGTTAATAACCAACATGGATTTGTTGGACTATTCGACATTTCTCTAGGCTTGAAATTTTTCAAAACTAAAGAGCTAGGAGAAAAAGAAAAAGTACAGTGGTATGGTTTCATAACTGCTAATATAACCATAATGAACAGTTTTATGATCCCAAAGCACATTCATTACTGAGTATTTTCAACACCTCTGTGAGTGTGAATGTAGAAATTTGCTAGCATTTCTCTTTTGCAAATGAGAAATGTAAAGATTAAAGGGGCTAAACGATTTCTCCAGTCTGAAGAGCTGATCAGTAGCAGTCAGCACTTATATGAAGATCTTCAAATTCTAAGCTCCAAGGTCTTTTTACTACACTGGTCTGCCTCCTCATTAGATGAGTTTGGTTTTGTTGTTTTGTGTTGTTTTTATGTTTGCTCCTTTGAGGAAAGATGAACTTTAAATAAATATTTTAAGGGGCTGTAATGGGTTGAACTGTGTTCCCTCCCAGAAAGGTGTATTTAAGCCCTAATCCTTGGTACCTATGAAGGGGACCTTATTTGGAAACACAGTCTTTGCAGATGTAAGCAAGTCAGGATGAAGTCATGTTGGATAAGAGTGGGCCCTAAATCCAATGATTAATGCCTTTATAGGGAAACAGAGAAGACTTGGGTACAGAGCACAGTAGAGACACAGGGAAGAAGGCATTTGACAGCAGTTGCAGAGACTAGCGTGATGCAACTACAAGCGAGGGAATGCCAAGGATCCTGCCAGCAGCTGGGAGGGGCACGGAACAGATCCTCCCTCAGAACCTCCAGAAGGAACCACCCTATCAACACTTGGTTTCGGACTTCCAGCCACCGGAACTGTGAGAGAATATACTCTGTTGCTTTGAGCTGCCAGGGTTGTGTAACTTGTTACATCAGCCCTAGGGAACTAATACAGTATCTGTCATGTGACCTGCAGCATATGCAATTTTTATGCAGCAATATCCGGGATAGATACTAGGGGTTAAGTTCTTATTGTACATGTCTTATCCTCTTTAACTTCACTTCATGGAGAGACAGAGAAACTAGAAAATTTTTTTAAATTGTTACTAGTTTTAGAGTTTTCCTGATATTGAATTACTAAAATTGCCTCTATATATTTTGAAATATGAATACATTTAAATTAAATGATCAGTGAGATTATAACACTTACTTGTTCATGCCCTCCCAAATATGGGTCGTCTTCTGCCATTCTGGAGCTGTGTATTAAAACAAAGCAAAACAAAACTGTAATGCTAGTTTGAACCTTTAAAATTCTATCACCATGGAATTCATGCAGGAGTAAACTGTATTATTTCAGTAAGACCAAACATAATCCTTTTTTAAAGACCACAGAAGAAGGACATGGTGTGGTTCCTCTTTGGTATCTAAAGTTAACAGCAGGGAGATTGCATAATCAAGGAATTACCACTTACGTACTATCTAAACTCATAACAGTGTCCTGAGTTTGGAACAACTGGTCTTTATCCTCTGCACAAAATGTCATGCATACTGGGATTCTTAGAGGCTGTTTCTTTTTATCACCCTCTAAACATTAAGGATTAATAGTCTTAGCTCCTTAAGTATATTATTTTCCACCTCATCATGAATTCTGGGATGGCTCTAAAACTATCTTCCAGTTTTCTACAGGGTCAAGGAGCTGGGCAGGGCCTCGCCAGGGCTTTGCCAGCAAGGAGAGGACGCTGCGGTGGCAGCGAGGCCCCCAGCGAGGCCCAGGGAGGCCCAGGGAGGCGAGCTTTTCCTGCCACTGTCAAAGTGGTGTAGAAACTCTGTGATGTTAAAAGTGAAAGAGAAAATACAAAAATAAAGCCCTTATTATCAGGCTATCGGTCTCAGATTTAATCAACCTCAGACAGACACTAACACACTGCAGGTCCTAGCGATCTTCCCTTGCCCAGTGGCCCTGATAAGACGTGAAGAGCCATGTGGTTACATAAAGATAGCATCTGCAGTCACATATCATTTAGGATTTACTTTAATAAAAAATAGTCTTATATTAAATATAGGTTAATTTGATTTAAATTTATTTAGATCAAATTTTAGATACGTGACATGAAAATGAGAGGATTAAAAAAAGTCTGAAAGCAAATATAACTGCTGAGGCAAATGTTTCATTTTTTTCATGAAGTGTATAAAGCACTCAAGGACACTTTGGACTGCAGATGAGAACGCGAGCTGTCCACCAAGCCGCGAGCTCTTTCTCCACGGCGACGGCGTGCGGCTGGCAGCGCGGCCGCCAGCTGGTGTGCGCCGCCCCACGTCCTGCAGGGGGCGCCATCCGCCCCACGCTTGCTGCGGGACGCCGGCTGGTGTGCGCCGCCCCACGTCCTGCAGGGGGCGCCATCCGCCCCACGCTCGCGGCAGGACGCCGGCTGGCATGCGCCCCACGTCCTGCAGGGGGCGCCATCCGCCCCACGCTCGCGGCGGGACGCCGGGTGCAGCGCCACGTCCAGGTCTGGGCGTAAGGCCCTTGCCCCGCTTCCTCCGGGTTCTGTCTTGTTTCTCTTTTCCGCTGGACAAACCCAGCGGAGGAGCAGGCCTGGCTCGGCCACACAGGCGAGGAGCAGCGGGGACGCGGACAGCGAGACGCACGGAAACGGGCCGACCCCGCGCGGGGCAGCTGCTCGGGCCGTCCGGCCGGCGCCGGAGCCGACGGGACGGGAGGACACTTGGTTCTCTGACGCGCTGCACGGCCAGGCTGTTGTCAGGGCGTCGGCCCTCGCTTTGACGAGCGCTCTGCCCAACGCTCCAGCGGGCACAGAGGCCCCCCAGAGAACCCGACTTCCAGCGAGGTCCCCTCCGGCGCCGCGGGGCGGCCGGAACGCGCCTCCCCGGGCCGGCGGCGCCCAGGGTCCCGACAGGCGGCGCCCGGGTTCCGGACAGGGGGCGCCCGCGGGTTCCCGACAGGCGGCGCCCGGGTTCCGGACAGGGGGCGGCCCGGGTCCCGACAGGCGGCGCCCGGGTTCCGGAGCAGGGCGCCGGGGTCCCCGACAGGCGGCGCCCGGCGTTCCGGACAGGGCGCCCGGGGGTCCCCGACAGCGGCGCCCGGGTTCCGGACAGGACGCCCGGGTTCCGGACAAGGGCGCCCGGGTCGCCGACAGGGGCCGCCCGGCTTCCGGACAAGGGGCCCCCGGAGGTCCCCGACAGGCGGCGCCCGGGTTCCGGACAGGGGGCGCCCGGGGTCCCCGACAGGCGGCGCCCGGGGTCCCCGACAGGGGGCGCCCGGGGTCCCCGACAGGCGGCGCCCGGGGTTCCGGACAGGGGGCGCCCGGGGTTCCGGACAGGGGGCGCCCGGGGTTCCCGACAGGCGGCGCCCGGGGTCCGCGACAGGCGGCGCCCGGGTCCCCGACAGGGGCCGCCCGGCGTCCGCGACAGGGAACGGCAGCCCTGGGCTCTGCTGAACTCCGAACTCCGTCCGGGCAGGCTGCAGGGAAGCACTTGCCTGAGACGAGGAACTGTGGAGCGAAGGTATCCGCACAGCCACGGCTGAACAATCTCAATTAAGACAAGCAGTTTAACAAGGGAAAACTGACCGGACCCAGCAGAGAGGATTAAGTCATGCAAGATTCCAGCGTTGTGCCCCTGCTGGGTGCATGACCTTGTGTATTAACTGAACTCACTGCGGCCTCTGTTTGTGGGATAGACTTTTGAAAAGAATAGAAATTCGCTGATCTTCGAATATGTTAGTTAGCTAATAAACACCTATTCAACATTCCCGATAAATAACGTTAGCATAACTTTCAGTCGTATGAAGAATACTAATGAAAAAAAAGTTACACTGAAATACAGTGCTAGTATCGTCTACAACAGTCTATGGGAAAGTTCCTGCCCTTAGAACACCACAGGAGCCTAAACTTCCAAGAAAGATATTAAAATCATCTTTTTGCCTTTAGACTTTCCATTAATCTGGGCTGATCTCCTCAATTTTCTCAGATAATCTTAACCCATGGTCTTCAAAAGCAGAGGTAAAAACTGGGCACAGCGGCTCACGCCTGTAATCACAGCACTTGGGGAGGCCAAGGCTGATAGATCGCATTAGGCCACAAGTTCAAGATCAGCCTGGGCAACACATTGAGACCCCATCTCTAAAAAAAAATTTAAAAATTAGCTGGGTGTTGTGGTATATGCTAGTAATCTGAGGCAGGAGGATCGCTGGAAGCCAGCAGTTCGAGGCTGCAGTGAGCTAGGATCACACCACTGCACTCCAACTTGGATGAGAGAGAGACCTTGTCTTTAAAGTCTCCTTAAAAAAAAAAGCAGAGGTGAGATTGTTGACTTATTAAAACTGATAGAACCCATTCAGTACCTCTATCACACTGATTGTGTATATTTAAACCTGTGGATGGTTTCCCAGATCTTTAAATGCATAAACTTATAAAGCAGCCCTCACCCTAATTTTTACAACTCAAACTAAACCTTATTAGATCCAATGCAGGGTTATTACCATGATCACTGCTGTAGCTAAAGTCTTAATGAAGATCTCTAAATTGTAGACAATGGACTAACTGACAAATTAAACAATCTGCCCTCCAATATCTTCTTCATGATTTACGCAGTAATATGTGCCAGAAGATCAAAGTTTTAAAAGCTCAACAGCAGCCCAAGGGACACTCAGGTGAGGTTAAAGTCTGAACTTTTATAGCTTTGTCAAGACACTTAAGTTGACTGTGAAGAGCTGAAGTGACAGTAACCCAATGGTGATGTCAATGTTAATTCATCATTTAAAAATAAAATGTCAAAAGGAACCAAGAATTATTTGGAAAGGATGAATCACTGAGTAATTTTTGCATTAATTATAAAAGCAGGTTTTCTTTGCAAAATGTTGAAACACTAACTAAGCCCTCGGAGCCTAAGGTTTAGAAAAGACCAGGGAAAACCCCTTTCACCTCCCTGCTCCCCCAGCCCTTCCCCTTACTTTCCCTTGCTCAGTGCTGTGCTTTTGAGGAAGGATCTTGAAACAGGAAGGGAGATACTGAGTTGACTGGGGACAGTTTCTGCAGCCCTGTCCCCCAACACTGAAGTTTTTAGGAATATTTTCACACCATGGAAGGAGAAATAAAAAATGTAGCCAGGTAGCAACAAATAAAATACCCAGCAAATTTTTTTTTTCATGAAAAGCATAATGTTACAACTAGCTTTGTTCTGAATACACGAAGAGTTCTATGATATGCTAATGGGCTACTTTACACACATCTGTGACCATTCCCTGACAGCACCGAGCCCAGCACACGGGCTTCTTGGTGAAGGCAGCCAGCACGCAGTGGACTCACTGGAACGCTCTGGACCATCACAGACAGTTGGCGGCACTCCTGTCCTCGTTGTCACTGGGGAAACTCTCTAGGTCAGAGACATTCACACTTTTTGACTATTACCCACTGTAAGAAAATATATTCTTTCTATTCTATTAGACTTCATTTAAAAAAAACTTTTCAAACTCATTAAAATGATTACTAACCCACTAAGGATAACAGTTTTCAGTTCGAAAAACAGAATTTTAGGTGCCATCCAGAGGGCACAGTTGAGAATCAGAGAGAAGTGTCTCTACTTTCAAGATTATATTCGGCCATAATAGATACCACTTAGGTATAATTGGACAGCAATGAGGATGACACTAGAAGAAAAAGGGTGCCCTCTCATCTTTTCTCTGTGAGGTAATAAATTGATAGAGAAAAAATGTGCTGAAGTCTCTTTCCATAGAGGAATTTTTTTGAGAAAGCATGATATATCCAACCCCACGTGGCAATAATGCTAGGGATGAGAAATCCTAATGAATGTCACTGCATCATGGCAGTGCTTTGCAATGGAGAAGGAACTATAGTCACCACCTCTCACAAGTAAGGAACTGTATAGTCAGTGCTTCACACACTTCAGGGAGCTCTCACATCAACCCTGGGAAATACTGTCCCAGGTAAGAAACAGGTTTAGAGAGAGAGAGTCATTTGCTCAGGCTGACAGAGTAGTGCTGGCTAATCTGACTCTACAGCCTATAGTTCTTTCAATTGTTCAAGAGGCCGCAGTGATTTACTTAAAACATCATTCATTTTACTATAGCACCTTTGCTCCAGGTCTCGCAGGCGTTCTGGTCGGAGCTAGTCTACCTATAGCACAGCCTGAAAAGCAGAATAGGATTCTGACAGTGCACAAAACTCAAATGAGTTCTTTAAGAGACAATGAAATGTGAAGGTAAAAATACCAAACAATGTTAACTCAAACGATAGTTGCTTTAAAAAAATATATCTTTGGTCAATTACAGAGGCCAGAAGGCTTATAAAGAGATTCTCTCTGAACCATGCCTATAGAAAACACCATAGTCACTGACAGTATGATAAAAGTGTATGTGTATGCATATACACATATACATACACATATATGTGTATGTATATGTACATATACATACACATACACATATACGCACACACATTTAAAACTACAGCAGATTGAAATGCTACCTGAATGTTTTCCTTCTTTCACTAATTTAGTGAAAAATATTTATGCCCCTGTGTTAGGTACCAAATACACCAAAGTGCACAAGAGTGACATAGTTCCTGTATTTACAGAGCTTACAGTTGTGGCAAACTGAAAACAATGGCCACAAATTATTTGATACTCTACCTAACAAAAGGAGGCCTCGAGTCTTGATGGGCTTGTGCCTTGCTCTGACCAAAAGAGTAAGGTAGAAATACAAGTTCTGAACACAGGTTCAAGAGGCCTTGTGGTGACCCTTGTGCTCTCTTGGAACACTGCTGCCCTGTGAAGGAGCCGGGCCAGCCCGCTGGGAAGGGAAGACCACGCGCGGCAGAGAGGGGCCGGCCCCAGCACCCGCTCAGCAGCCAAAGACTTCAGAGGAACAGCACCACCGCGCCAGCTGAGCAGCTACGAACAGCACTAGCTGAACAGCCAGAAGTGTTCAGAGATTGGCCACGCCAGCCAAGGCCAGATGACCTAGACAGCCACAGACTTGGAGGAAATAATGAATGTTTATTTTAATTTGCTTTGTGGTGATTTTTTTTAATGCAACAAAAGCTAACTAATACAATAGTTTAGTAAGTAGGAAGCCAGGCAAAAACAATGCGACACAGTAAGTGTCATGGGATACAGAGTGTATACAAAGAGATACAGAAGGTATGTGGGGCATGAGTTAATTATTTTGGTAATTCACTAATTACACTTTCTTTTTTTTTTTTTTTTTTTTTTGAGACAGAGT